TAATCTACACCCATGTGAGGGCTCCTACCGCAAAAATGAACGCTCGCGTCCACGTTGTTTTTACGTACTGACGCCTGAAAGATTTTTTGGCGTGAAAGCGATATTAGGGATGGCGCAAATTAGAAAAACTTCAAATCCAACCTTTACGCATCCGTAAGTCTCTGTACGTACACGCCAAACTTTAAATTGGCATCGCGCCAGCTTTGGAATTAAGAAGTAGAGAATTGTAATTTTGCAACGTTGCTTGTCACTCGCTGCTGTGCCAACTGAGACGTAGGATTCGACGTAGACAGTTTTGTAACTTCGGAACTGAAGCAAGTAGAGGGTTAAAACTTTCTGGGCGCAGCTGATGACGACGTTTGACCAGGTAGACATGAAAATAACTTTTACTTTCCTTTGATGTCTCACGTACTTGTTACGTACGAACGCGTGAAATATGACGCAATTTCGCAATCGAACTAGGTAAAGCGCTCGAATTTTCTGAACATGGCCCAGGACCGTGTTTGAGCAGGATCACTTACATTCACTCTTCCCATCACTTAATTGTCGAAGTTTTCAGAGATTGATCCTCGAAAGTGTTTGGGCAAGTTCACACAAAAAAAAGCTTCTCCGTCTTCCTTACTTATAGCACGTGAAATTTGACGTAACTCCTCAGCCAAAGCATCTAGAGTGCTTAATCTTTTGAGCATGGATTGGAGTTGTAATAATTTCCGACAATTATGATGGCCTCTTTCAATTCTTTTAGTTAGAATCATCTGTCGAAAAAAAAACAGTGTCGTTAGAGAAAAAAACCTGCGAGGGAACTATGCAAAAAGCGCGTCTTTGCACCGACAGTCGCAGCGTCGGCCATTTGTTATGCGTTTTGCGCTGTTTAACAGCAGTACAAAACGCATATTATCACGGGGTTGTCTGTTTGTGTGTGGCCGTAGCAACTTGTCCGCAACGTTCAACTCGGGATCCACAAAAGCTAGGAAACTGAAAATTTAGAGGAATTCCCCAGCCACGTATGT